TGTTGACGGCGGTGGTGGTGCGGTGGTGATGGTTGTGGTCGTCATGGTGGTGTGGTGTCAGGGTGAGGGTGGTAGTGGTATGTGACCAATTATTTAGTTATTTGTGACCTAAAAACTTGATAACTTGTGACTAAAAAATGATCCGTGACCAACTAATTCCAAAATCTATGACTGACAAATAAACTGTGACCTAAAAATTCAATAACTTGCGATTTAAAAATAATTTGTGACCAATTAATTTGAAAATATGTGACTGACTAAAAAACTGTGACATATAATAATTTTGATTTGTGGCCGATGAAAGAATCTGTGACCAGTTATTTTTATAATATGTGACATTGTGATCTTAAAGTACATATCTGTGACCATAAATTTTATAACTGTGACCGTAATATGCTTCATTAATAAAATATTTTTAATTAATTAACACAAACCTGATTTTTGCATGTTAGAACTTTAGGCCTGGAATTTGAATTGGCCATACTTAAAGCCTGATTCATGAATTTTTCCCTTTAGAAATTTGTTGGGTTAGGTCAAGCTAGCTAGGCTAGGGCTTAGGAGATAAAGTATCAATTAATCACCTAATTTGTTAATTTGTTTAGAAAAAATTAAAATAATTTGATTTGTTCAATATAAAAAAAATAAAAATTATGAATATTCAGTTCTTTGTCTAGAATCGAGAATCGAACCGTACCCGTCGATTTTTAATTCAGATACCCGTTCGGGTATTTAACTTGAGAAGAATCGTCGGGTTCGGTTCGGTTCGGGAGATTTGCCCAGCTCTAATTCTGAGTGAAAGACAATAACCGCATATCCACATATCACTATTGATCCGTACCATATGTCTTGTGAGAAATATATTTAAATTGAAGGCTGAATTAAAATATTGGTAATATATTTTAGAGAAGTCTACTTCATTAAGCATTGTTGGTAAATACCAAAATGAAGGACTGAGACATTGAAGAAGTACTGCAATATAATTAATTCGATAGAAAGGCACCATCTCTCAAGTGAAAGATCTGTTTTATTTATAGGTGCCTGTATGATTGATATTTACAACTTAATCATCTCTAATCATCAATAGAAAATTGTAAGAACCGAAGAATCATCCGTTCTTCGCTTTCAAATTAAATGATTTAATGCCCAGCAGTTATTATTACTATTTATTTATTTATAGAATTCCCTCCTGCGTATCACTGGTTTAGTGAAATTCCAATTTGTATATATCTTGCAATTTTAAGTTAATTCACATACACACGAATTAAATAGTATCTCGACTGTCAATAGGATATGCTTGTGTTGCTCCTCCCTCGTCTTCACGTCATTATCTTCCTTAAGAAAAACTTTAGCGGTGCACATTAACATGTATAGCCATATTGACATACAGCTGAGACCCACACCGAGGGCTTCCACTTATTGTTCTTCTGATTCTTTTTTTTGCCTTAAAGAAGCTTCTATTTTCATATTGTCATTCCTTATCTTGATTCCGAATTTATTGGTTGGAAGAAAATTAGTTTCATATTATTATTTATAAGTATAGCAAAAATTAAATAAATAAAAATAGTTTTCTTTTGTGAAAAAATTCACATTTTATATTTTTTGTTTCGTTTACGAGAAGTATAAATAAAATTTATAATTATTATCAAAATAATCTATAATTCTTTGACCTGCCACAATAATTTTATTATTAAGATTGATTGTATCTGGTGAAAAGGGAAAATGTAGTCATTTTATGCTTCTGTCCACCGATCTCTCTTCAATTCAAAGAACCTCAGGTTTTTCTCTCGCTTGAGGGGATTCTGTAACTGTCTAGATTATAACTTCTCACAGGTTCTACAGATAAACAAGTGTCTTTTGCCCATTTTCGTTAATGGATTGCATGACCCCTGTTTATGATTTCAAATCGTCCGTGGGTAATATATTGTTTGATTGGATGAGTATTGTTTATGTGTGCATTTTAGTTGGTTGAAAAACTACTTGTAAAATCAACTGACATATAAATTTCTGTTTTCCTCTGCTTGTATCGGGAAGAAACAACAGTGCCTTGGTTTATTGTTTTATTACGAGCTGCTGCAATTGTTCTATCTACTCCGGATATGTGATTACAAGAATGCTGCTCACCGTGTTGACAAATTGGATGTTGTTATAAAGTCTGACTTGCAACGGATGCAACATATGCGAGAACTCACCAAAGAGCTTGATGCACTAAATCACAGTCTCTCCCACTCTGATTTGAACTACAGGGACAAATCTGCTCTTACTGAAAAACAAGCTCAGCTTGAAGAACGACTTGGTAATTATAGTGGGATGAGTTTAACTGGGAAAATGCCTTTGGAACCTGCATATTTTGGAAATGTGAAACGAGCATGGGCTGATAAACTTGAGCTGGCCCCCCCTCCCATTGATGGGGAATGGCTACCAAAAAGTGCAGTCTACGCGTTGGTAGATCTTATGGTGGTTGTTTTTAGCCGCCCAAAGGGACTTTTTAAGGAGTGTGGAAAGAGGGTTCAATCTGGAATGCAAATTATCCAAGGTTGGTTTTGGTAATCGGGATGTAATTTTAATATCTACATTTGAAATAACCCTACATTGCAGTTCTTGTGCATGTAGAAGTGAATGGATGGCGATATGTTTTCTCTCAATTGTTATCCATATGGACATATATTTGGTTATTACCAATTTATTTGTTGCCAAAAGATAATATATACTCTGACATGAATGAACCTGAAAATGGTTTGTCTCCTAACTGTTCTAAGTGAAGAAGCTTGTTATAGTGTGATCAATGTGTCCATATTGTGCGACCAGGGTTTTTTAAGATTCCCAGAAGTACATTATCTTCCAATTTATTGGCCCTTCGTCTTTGCTGGTTTTCAGTTGTTTCGGAATAGTTTGACCTCTTTACCTTTAGGTGCTATATCTAGGCATTAGGCAATTCCTGAAATTATTCTTGTCTTAGTGAAACCAATTCAGAGTTGTCATGTTGCAGGTGATGCTTACTTGTTTAAAAGGTTGCGGGATATTTAGACTGGTTATATTACTTGGATTGTCAAATTCAATTGATAGAAGCCGTAGAGGGATATATTAATTACATGCTTGCTTTTCTTACGGTCCTGCATGTAGTATTTAGAAGGGCATTCCATGGGTCTTCATCAATTGCACCTTATTTTGTTTCTATCTGCAACTTGATTTGATTAACCATAAGATCTATGAAGTTATTTAACACATCAAGACTAAACTGTGAAGAAAAAATAGAATTTATGAAACTTTACTAACGTCTGGTGACTAGATATGGAAGGAATTGGTAAATACATGCTTCTGAAAGATTTTTGCAATTTGTGCTAAAATGTCGATAAAAAACCTTACTTGTTGTTTTGATTGAAAGTCATTTGGATAGTTGATGAATGAACAAAGGTGTTGCTTAAAGCCTGTAAAAATTGCAGTCCAGCGTTAGGTTCTCTTTAGACCTGAATTATTCTCTTTCTTGCAGAGGAATTGGTGCAACTTGGAATTACTGATGGCATTAAAGGTTAGGCTTTCATTTATATCGGTAAATCATGTTTCTGATGCATGGTGTCATTAGTAAGCTCCCAATGAAATTCTCTATGAATTAAGAACAATTTTTAAGGAATTCAGATATTTCTCTATTTTTGTAGGAAAATACTGAATATGTGCTTCTAAGGTCTCTTGACATATTTTTTCTTTAATACACTGAATGGCAGAAGTAGAACTGCAACACTCTGCAATATGGATGGCTGGGGTCTATTTGGTGCTTCTAATGCAGTTCCTTGAAAATAAAGTAACTATCGATCTTACACGAACTGAATTTGTTGAGGCACAAGAGGTTGGTTATTTCCTGTTCAGTTGCCATATTAGTTAAATGTGCATTTTCAATTTAATTTAAGTCTTAACTTATAATATCATGTTAATTGAACAAGTTAATAGAATGATGCAAAATAATTCGTTGCTAAAAAGCTTCTGACCATATTTCTGGTCATATATTTCTCTATTCTCATTTATTTGTTGCTTATTGTTTAGAAGACATTATTTTCAATGTTAAAATAAAGGCACTGCAAGGTTATTTGTTATTTATGTTTTACGGATGAAGCCTTGATCCAGTTTTTGATGGCATCCTAAGTCTGTGGAATCTGCAACGTATAACCTCCCTCCAGAACCAAAAAACAAGAAGAAAAAAAGCCAAAAAAATTTGCATTTTGTTTAGAAGTTCAATACTGAAGAGCATGCCTATCAATTGTACCATGTGTTTATTGTTATTTGGAAGATACTCTAGAAAGGAATTTTACTTCGTCAGATGAAAGACTTTTGATTTGCAATGAATTTGAAATAAAGTTAAGTGTCTTGAATTTTCAAGAAGGACAATCTTCTAGCTGTATAAAACGATGTATAATTTAGATTTAATGAAGAACCATGTTTCATTGCAGGCTTTGATACAGATGAGAAATTGGTTTATTCGCTTCCCAACAATCTTACAGGCCTCTGAGAGTATCATTGAGATGCTACAAGGGCAGTATGCTCATTCTGTTGGCTGCTATAGTGAAGCTACTTATCATTTCCTTGAAGCTTCGAAGGTAATTCTTTGCTGGCACTGGTACCTAGATAGGTGCCGTTTACACATTCTTTTCTGTATATTTTTACATAGATGATTTTCTTCTTGGCGTTAATTGTTACTAACATACTTGTTGATCCCCTGACATAGGCCTGAGTTTGGAAACTCAAATAGGATAAATTGTTTTTTTTTTTTTTCCCTTGATCTGTGTATAAGAAATCTACACAAGCATTTTTAATGAATTTTATCTGCTTGATCTATATGTTTTTCATTTTTAGTTGACGGAGAGCAAGTCAATGCAAGCCATGTTCCACATTTATGCAGCAGTCTCTTACATCTGCATTGGAGATGCTGAATCCTCTGCAAAGGTATTGTATTTCCTGCCAAGATCTGAATTTGTATTTGTAGACGGCACTGTTAGATCTTCTTACTTGGACTAGCTTTTCTACAGGCTGTTGACCTGATTGGACCAGTTTTGGGAGTCGTTGATTCTTTTGTTGGAGTGCGAGAGAAAACCAGCGCCCTTTTCGCCTATGGCTTTCTACTGATGAGACAGCAGAATCTACAAGAAGCTAGGTAGAAGTTGCTACTCTCGTTTCATTACATCATATCCTCCCATATTGTATGAATATACCTTTGCTAGTGCATGTTTAGTGCATCTCTTTACCCAAGTAAAATATGTTATGTAAACTCCGTAGGATAAAGTTGCTTATCCTTTTTCTTATTAGTTTTGTGTTTGTAATTCCCATATCTATATCTTTTGGAAGGTGCGGGTTATTGGGTTGTTGGGGGGGGGGGGGATTAGTTGAACATTTTTGTAGTGATTGTATTCATTTGCAAACAAAATTTTGATTATGACAAAATTTTGATTATGAAGTTGGGTCAAGAAGTTTTGGTCATTAGATGTACCATATCTGTGGTGGTAGGCGACATGCCCTTGAGTTGGAGAAAAACTGTATTAGGCCATGAGATTATATTGTTGGCTGTTTTGTTTTCAAAATGCACACTTGACATCTGACCTGACATGTCACTGTTTCTAGTTATCTTATGAGTTAGTTTTCTTTTTCTTTCTTCCCTTCTAAAAAGCTTCGTTGAGTTTGATTATATACTGACTTTGAATCAAATTCCCTTGGGCAAATTTTTTATCTATTAAGTGGCTTAAGTTCGAAAGTTGAAAATTTCTTCAACTGATTAATGGAACTTGTGCATTCTCGAGATGTAGATTGACCAATTTACTTTTTGATCATTTGCTTTTTGTCTGGTATTTATGCTGCTTGAAATCATCCAAACATGCTTTTATCTAATCCGAGTTGCTGACCCGAAATTCGTAGTTGAAAACTTTCTAGTTCTAACTGTGATGTAGTATTTTTCTTTTTTTAATCCAAATCTTAGATTTCTGGATTACAGTGGTTCCTATAGTCGATTTTACAAGTAGGGAAGATTTAAAACTTTCTGTAGTCTTGCAAGAAACTAGATTTGAGCCAACATCATTCTGTCACTAGAAAATGTGTGATGTGCAATATTAGATTAAACAATTTAGTTATCTGTATCTGTCTTGATTTCTGCTGATTGATTTCGTGGCTATATTTTTTTCTTGAGTCCCCATCCTTACTGATGATGTATTCCTTGCTAAATCATGCGTTTAACAACCAGTTGCTCAGATATTGACACGTGCCACAAGAAATAAGAAATCCATGGAAATAAAATGCATTAGAAATTTTCTTATCCATGTTTCAAAATATGAGTGATTGAATTAACCAAAGTTGTATATTGAAATTTAACAAAACTACATCTCTACCCCACTCCCTTTTCTCATATTATACATAATTTTGATGCAGAGTACGACTAGCCTCTGGTTTGCAAACTACACATACCTTTTTGGGGAATCTTCAACTTGTTTCGCAGTATTTGACCGTGCTAGGAAATTTGGCACTTGCACTACACGATACAGGTCAAGCTAGAGAGATCTTGAGATCCGCCTTAACATTGGCAAAAAAACTCTACGATATCCCAACTCAAACCTGGGTTCTATCCAATTTGACTGGTATATCACATTTTTGGTTCTTCAATTATGGATAGATAATGGGTTTCATTGTGTTTATGTATTCTTGCTGCTACTTATTGTTCCAATGAGATCTAACCTTGATTTGTTTGTTAAGGCGGGTTAGACAGAACCTAATTGTATTAAAGGAGATTGAATGCTGCGTACCAAACATGCTTTGAGAAAAATGTGTAGAAGGTGTTGAGTAAGTGCAGCCCACTTGTGGGACAAATGACTTTTAAAGTTTCTCAGTACAAGTTGTTGCCTTGGGGTATTGATTAGACTTCTTATGAAGATAGAGAACCGAAGAAATAAGGTCAACATAAATTTTGCCAATTTGAAATGAGTGAATTTTGCTGTCATTGATGAAGAACCATTTGACAGTATGCAAAAGATTTGTGTCTGCAGTAGGCAGGGACAAAGACAAAAACATCAGTTATTCCCACCTTTTCATTTTGATCTTAACTTGCTTGTCTATCATTTCACTTATTCGTAGTACCCGTAATTTATTTACCTTATCGCTGCCTGCAGCTTTGTACCAGCAATCGGGCGAGAAAGTGCATGAAGAAGAAAATCTTGAGTATCAAAGGAGGAAAGTTGAGGATCTACAGCAAAGACTATCCATTGCACGTTCATCTATTCATCATAATGAACTGGTAACAGCTTTGACTCTTGTATCGATTTCTTACCATGACGATGATCTGTAGAAAACTCTTCCAAAATAGTTCTATTATTGGCTCATGGTCCTCATTTTGACATGTATTAATGGGCAGATTGAGAAAGTAAAACTTCAAGTTCACCAACTGAGCGAGGTAGACATCAAGCGAGCAGTTGCAGGCCCTTCCCGGAGTGTAAATCTTGACATCCCTGAGTCGATTGGTCTGTTAGCTCCATCACCCTTCCCATCTTCTGCAAGGCTTATGGATTTGGACATTGGGAGGCTTGGGAAGAGGAAGATATAACTACCCACTTGTGAGTTGATATTCCTTTCCTATTTGAGGATAGGAATAACTGAAAAATGACGAAAGAGCATGTCTTTCCCTCGCCTCGGCTAGTATAGGCACACCGGTGTTATTTTCCCGTCTTAGTCTTATCGACATATTCACTTGACAATATTAAGAAAAGTAATCAAAATCGGGCTCATTATATTGTTAGTCATATCCAATACAACTTGCTAAATATGAACTCAGGGTGGTTATTTACCTTAGCTAGAGAGTAGATAATATCCTAGGATCCTTTTAGCCATGGAGTTTCTTTTGTAAATCTCTCTTCGCAAGTGGTGAAGTTGTTTTGCTGAGACATAAAAGATACTCATAATGATGTTTACATTTTTCAGTTATAGGTAGTAGTGTTTTTCTTTTCATATATAGACGTTTTGACAAATTTTTTAATAGTTTGTGAGGTCTTATGATGTCTCCATGAACTTTCATGTAGTAACTTGTGATGACATTGAATTTGCAACATGTTAATTTGTTATCATTTCTCTTATTTGTTAATATTCCAATCAGTTTCACAATTTGGGAGTCTACATTGTACCAATCTGCAAATTTGAATTATTGAATTCACCTAACTCGATAGTATCATGTTTTTGAGACCAATAGAAAGATATGTTTTTGAAGACAGCTGAGCTGAGTGTATAGAATCCCAACTCACAAACCTCATACAGGTTCTCATACATGGGTGGGATTGGAATTTTTTTTTTGTCATTTTTTATTATATAGGGTACCATGGTGGGGTTGACCCTTTGTGAGACTTCTGGTTTTCTCCTGTAAGAATAATTTTATACAATTAGAATTGTCCTTTTGAAGATAAGTTGAATGTATTATGTCATGTTTAATTGTTGAGCACGACGACTCGTAAGAATCTACATAATTAAAATTAAAAGGTAAAAGTTGAATTAAAAGAGCTGTTAGGGTCTGTGTTAAATTTTGAATTGCTATAAAATAGTGATGTTTTAGCCTCGTTTGCCGGCTTTGGCTCCCCATTTTTTCAAATTTAAATGGGTGTAATATATTTTATTTTAAATAAGTGGTTGAAAAAGAAAGAAATTTTTTTTATTTTCGTGTAATATTATTTTATGAAAGATTTTGTGATTAAAAATAGGAGAGAAAAAAATGAAATTTAGTGCTTAAGTTGGGCCAACTCACTTTGCCAAAAATAGGGACCGAGGTCAAGTCAAGTCGATTCCAAATTGGTATATCACAATGAACTAATTGTGTTAGGTTTGATTTTCCTGCACAACGATTCATAAGGATCCACTTAGTTCAATTTATTAAATTAGAAGTTAGAAGTAGATTAAAAGAGTCCTTCAACTCTTTTTCAATATAACAACTTAATTTACAAAAACATTAATTAGAAGATCCAGTTTTGTTTGTTTATCAAAATTGTAGCTTCAATTTCAAATCAGTCCTCAAATTTGAAAGACGGTTTATGCTATGTTCGGACTATACCTTAAACACGTGGATTTTTTTGCGCATGTAACAAGTCTAATTAAACTTGGTTCGACATCGATTGATTCAAGTCGGCCTTCTTTATTTTGACACACATATTTTAATACCATGTTTGGACGCACTTAAAAATAAATTAAATTGACTTCTATGTAATAAATTTTCGTACATTAAAATTAACTAAAATATGTAAAGTGAGATGAGCACCGACAGATTAATAGGATGAATATGTGCCACAGTACCAGAATCTAAAACCGTGGCATTTCGAATTTGATACTGTTTTTGCACTACACGGTACACACTCATTATCTTTCAGCCAAAGTCGTCTGTTAGCGAGCCCGATTGTACCGTGTCTGAAAAATTAACCCCAAAGTATATATTTAGGTCCAGCATTTTCTCGAACACCTGTCACAATATACAGTGATTGAACTTGTGTTGAGGAGAAGATGCAGGCTACGGTTGCATCCAGGTGTTTGAAGATTCTGAATAATTCCATTCCGCCTCGCTGTTTTAATCGTTATCCTATAACATGTTCTCCTAAATTATTAAACCCATGTCAAATTGGCTTTGAATTCAAGCAAAATTCAATCTTTACTGCACGCACCTCGCGTAGCTCCGGCAGAAAGAAGCCGTCTTTACTCCCTCATATCAATGCTTTTCTGTCGGATTTTCCCTCCAAAACACCCCAGAACCCAGTATGCACACTTTTCCATTTTGTTCTATTAATTTTAATTAATTATTAAATATTTTTACTGGATTTTAAGTTTTACATTATTTTGGTTAATTTGATGGGAAATTCTTGGTGAACAGAGATCGGTATCGGATGGCTATGCGGTGTTCTCCACAGAAGCAAAGCCAGCACCGAAGCAAGCGCCTACGACGTCGTTGAAGAAAACTGAAGCTTCAGGAGGCCAACTCCCAGATACTAAAATCTTCGCAACTCTCGCAAAATATATATGGATGAAGGATAATCTCGAGCTTCGGCTCCGTGTCATTGCTGCATTGGGCCTCTTAGTTGGTGCAAAAGTAATAATAAAGAACCTATCTTTGCGTTCATGTTATTACATGATTTTACCGTATACAGGTGCTTAACAGTATGATCTTTTTGGGGGTGGGCGGGGTTGTGTGTAGGTGTTGAATGTTCAGGTGCCATTCTTGTTTAAGCTTGCTGTTGATTGGTTGACGACTGCAACGGGAAATGCCAGTGCTCTAGCCGAGTTTACTGCTGCTAATTCAACTGTTTTAGCACTTTTTGTTAGCCCTGCTGCGATTTTGATTGGGTATGGGATAGCACGTGCAGGGTCTTCTGCTTTCAATGGTAACTTTTGTATTAGGAGTTTTTTAGTGTTTTTCTTTGTTTATAGTTTTTCCCTTGTTATGTACTACGAAAAAAGCTGGGGAAAAGAGATTTCCATGGTTTTTTAGATATATTTTTTATGGTGTTTAATGCACTTTGTTCGATTTTAGAATTGCGAACTGCGGTGTTCTCTAAGGTGGCATTGAGAACAATTAGGCAGGTTTCCCGAAAGGTACGACGTCTTCTTTTCCCTCATGTCCAAACCGTGTTTATGTATCAAAAGCTGTTACAGATCAAATAATGCATGAGGATAAATTTCTGATTTCCTTTTGCGTCGATTTCATGCTTAGTGCTCACTTTTATCCTTCCAATTTTATGCATGAATAGCTTATTTTAAAAGTAAATAATTACTTTTTAGTCTAATACAAGTGAAAAATGGAGGTCATTTGTTCAAGCTTCCTTTTGTAGTTTTGAGTGGGTAACGAATATAAATTAGATGTGTAAAGTGTGTCATATGGGAAAGGCCAGAGTAAACTATCTTTCTCATTCTTTATGGCTTTTCAGTGGCGAACAGTATGCCTGCTGTATGTGGCTCCTATTGTTCAACATTTTTGCATGATATATAACGATCTTCTAAATAAGGCAGACTGAAAATTATAAAATAATAAAGTAATCAGGCTTTTTTTTTTTTTGTGACATGAAATTTCATTCACCTTTGAGTGGTGTTGCAGTAATGCACAAAAGATATTATGGTAAATATTATTTCAAAGCTAGCAGAAATGGCACCACACTGTGTAGGACTTGTGTTTCCTGTGATATGTAAAATCCCATGGATTGAAGAAAGTATTTGCTTAAGCTAGAGGGATATCAACCCTTTATTTCTCTTTTATAATTAGTTGGATTTGGCAGTGGTCAAAAAATCAAGTTAGATATTACCATGATGTTAACCGAAGTTTAGCCAGCAATAATGGGAAATTAATAGAGAAAATGCTTGCTTTTCAGTTTAACTCATTTATCATATCTGAGCTGATTCTGGTGTTGGCTAATGATAAAGTTGAAACTTTCATGTTATTCTCATGTGGAAATAGTTAAGTATATATGGTTAAATAAAATGCGATTCACCATGTTATATCAAGTAACAAATTTTCAACATATGCTTCGTTCTGACATAACTGACTCATCTTATGCAGGTTTTTTCACATCTCCACGAGCTCGACCTACGGTTTCACCTTAGGTACTTCTTAAAAAAAGTCTTCTTAGAAAAGCTTTAACTTCTGCATTCCCTGTGGTGAGCACATTGATACCTCCAGCAGTGTGTAAAAATAACTAAAATTTGACTGCATACTTCCTTTACCTCTTAGTTGTCTTTGTTAAATTTCTCCCCCTTTTTTCTGTATCTTTATTCCATCTTCAGAGTCTTCATTTCCTTTCTGAACTGTAAGTGAAGGGTTATGCCTTCAGTCAACCTGTCCTCATAGGCAAAGCAAACCATCTTATGATCAAATCTCTCTCTCTCTCTCTCGTTCGCTTTTAACGGCTTATTTTCATCTTGAGAAGATTTTGTACAGAGAATTCAAATCATAACACTGCACATGATACTTGCATGGTCTCAGAATATTGTTTAAAGTTCAAGAGTTCAATCATATGGTTAATCTCCCTTTCAACTTCTTTCTTTTTGCAGTCGTGAAACAGGTGCTCTAAATCGAATAATTGATCGTGGTAGCCGTGCTATTAATTTTATACTTTCATCCATGGTCTTCAATGTTGTACCAACTATATTAGAGGTATGATTCCATCGCGTTCACGGCCTTTTGTTTCTTACTTGTGCATCTACGTTTATTTTTTTTCTGGAAATACAAAATTTCACTAATATTGTTGCTTTTTTCTATTTTTCTAAATACAAGCTTAATGGCTTTAGTGGTCTTTCAGATATCAATGGTGTCCGGTATTCTTGCATATAAGTTTGGAGCACCATTTGCATGGATTACATCACTGTCTGTGGCTGCATATATAATTTTCACATTGACCGTGACACAGGTATTTTTCCTTCTATGCCTTCAATGATTTTTGGGTCTCATCTATTATTTTTTTGTAAAGAAAAGTGCTGACCCTTCTCCCGAGAACGTGTTTTCTCTATCTCTTTCCTGTTCTTCTCTGATTATTACAATTTTTGTTCTTTCCCTTTTCCTGTGAGTTCTTCAGCATCTGTTTTTGTTCGTTGTTTTGCTAAAAAGAAAAATTTCTCCAAGATGTTGTTATTTTTCCGATATTCAACCCAAGGCCTCACTTTCCATTTTTTTCTAGTGGAGAACAAAGTTTAGGAAGGAGATGAACAAAGCTGATAATGATGCTAACACAAGGGCAATCGATTCTCTAATTAACTATGAGGTGAGTTCATAACTGTTCTCATATGGGAATTCTTTGAATTTCTCTGCAGTATTGATAACTTGTATTCCAAATTATTTTGTACATTTTCTTTTCAGACTGTGAAATATTTCAACAATGAGGCTTTTGAAGCTGATAAATACGATGAATTTCTGAGAAGTAAGTTGTTTTAAGATTTAGAGAAGTCTTCCTTCATATGATTGATCTTATCTTGTATAGGTTAGTACAACAAGTGAACTAATTCTCAGTAGACAGGTTATCCACAATGATTAAAATTTTTTTTTTATTATTTGGATAAGGAGTTGTTATTGAAGTCATCATTGGATCCTTAACAAGTTGGATATGGGCTTAGGATCAATTGGTCGAATTTCAAAACTGATTCTTGTAATAGTTTGCGGACTCTGATCTTTTTGACAATATTACAATTCTTAATGTTAAAATTCTATATTAAATTAAGCATGCTATGCATGGCTGGATGGTCGCCATTGTAATAATATGGTCACCTTGTGAACTAGAGATTGATGCAGTGTTTTTCTTTTGTTGTTGCTAAATTATTCACTTGGGCAGGTCTGATCTTCAAATTAGCTTGGTCTGAAAATGCACTAAATATTATAGTTTGAATGCATTTTGCAGTAGTTCTGAGGTGGTCTCACGGAAGCTTAACAATGATTTTGTGATCAATTGCTTGCTTTTAGTACTTTTGACACACTGATAAATATTTTTGTCATGTCTCTCCTTATGCTTCTACTCCATTAGTGGATTCAAATTGATTATATAATATATTTCAGTTTATGAGGATGCTGCCTTACAAGCTCAACGAAGCCTTGCCTATTTAAACTTTGGCCAAAATGTGATATTTAGCACAGCACTCTCTGCAGCTATGGTCTTGTGTTCCCAGGGGATCATGAATGGCAATATGACTGTTGGTGACTTGGTAAACTGAAATCTTCTTACTCTTTCAGGTTACCAATTTTCAAATCCGGAAAGAAAAAAGAAGCACTTCTACTATCAGCATGATTGATGATATTGATGCTTTAACTTTTCTTCTAGGTCATGGTAAATGGGCTACTTTTTCAGCTATCTCTTCCACTCAACTTCCTGGGAAGTGTTTATAGGGAAACAATTCAAAGTTTGGTTGACATGAAGTCCTTGTTTCAGTTACTAGAGGTATCATCTCATTTCAGATTTCCTTGCTTTTCTGTGCTCAATCGTGTTAAGATGAGTGTCTCTATATCGTCCTGAATTTGTGACTTGAGCAGTGAACAGATCAATAAGGTGAAATGTTCCCACATACAGCAACTTCTCTTTTACTGAGAGAGAGGGAGGGAGGGAGGGAGGGAGGGGATAACTTTGAAATTTAGAAACATAAAACTCCCAACAGTTGTGCGTGCTGCTGGTATTTTCATTCTCAGAGATCCTCAGTTCATAAAAGGAATGTGCATGGTTAGTCATCAATGGATACAAGTACATATTGAGCCTCATGAAGAAGATATCATATGAGATTCATCAATTTAGAAATGCCATTACCAGGTGTCGTGAAGGTTTGTAGCCAATAGTACTTGTAGGTATTAATGAGAAGGAAAAGTTGATGAGAGGAAATGAGAAGAAGCATCGCAAATAGGAGAGGAAGTATTATTATTATTATTATTATTTTTTTTCACTAGTTCTAAAGGGGTACTCACTATAGGTTTTTCAATTAACATTATGTATTTGAGAAGTTCATTATCCGTCTAGGCTGTCGAACTATGCATTTGCAAACATGACTTTGTTGAACTTCATTCATACTGATATGTATGGTTGAGGAAATATGTGATTTGCAACTTAAAAAATTTGACCACACTATTTTGCATTCATTTTTTTCTACGAGTAACATGTTTAATGATTAGAGAGCCCAAGTCCTCTCGATCTTTTTACTACTTATCTTACGATTCTGACCATTATGTACTTTGATTGACATCTCCAGGAGAAGGCTGATATTAGGGATGCAGACGGTGCCAAGCCTTTGAAGTTAGATGGCGGTGGCATTCAGTTTGACAATGTCTACTTCAGGTGCACCTTAAATTCTCTACTTGGCAATTCACTGGGCAAGATGGCAACTTGTAAACAAATGAACAAATACAGGATCTTTTGAATCATCATGCTCAGAACTCTGGCTGACAGCCATCTGTTTAGTGCTGTTGAGTGGTACAGGGAAATAAGCACTATATCTGGTGTGCTAAAAAAAAATAAAATGTTAGCTGGTGAAAATTCCTGTGTATAACAAGGGAAAATTGCACGATTGGTGCTCAACCTATGACCTCTATATCAAGTTGGTCCTCAAACTTTAAAATGGTACATTTTAATGTTCAGCTTCCTATATTGTTAATCAGGTAGTCTCAATGGATGGAAACAGTCCTTTTGACTTTTGAAAGGACAATTTTTTATGCTAAAAAGACAATTACGCTGTTATTTGAGGAATAATTGAAGATGGCAAAAACTTGGGGGTGTCGAAACTTATGGAGAGGCTGGGGTTGGCGGGCTAGTGTACGTGTTTGGAGAGTATGGCTGGTTTTTGTTTTTCTTTTCTTGCTACACTTTATTTTATTATTAAAAGTATTTGTGCGTGACCCATTTTATCCTTACAATAGTTCCCCCACATTATTTGCACATATCTTTTTAATGGTCAAACAAATTATTTCCATCTATTGGGAGTACTTGTGCAACAATAATGAGAGGGTGAAGCCAAAATGCTCTGTTATGAATCATGGAGATCAATTTACTAAAGAGGTCATAGGTTGGGGACCACCTTTGAAATTTCCCAAAAAGGAAGTTATTGGACAGTGAAAGGAAACTATTTTACTGGTAGAAATAGGAAGAGGATACTGTAGATATGCACGCAACAGTTTCCCCATCTACAGACCGGGCATATCACAGGATATCACAATATAATCTTAATTGGTCTCGCATTTGCATTCTTCCCTCACATTACGCATGAAATCAATGACTAAATAGTCTAAATTACTTTTCGTCAGCGGTTGATATCTATACTTGATGGATCATTTTTCAGCATTATGTCTAGATGATTTCATCTTCACGCGTGTACCCCATGTGCAGTTGCTTTTGTGGATAATATACAATCTGGAATGATACCCTTGTGTGCTTGAGTACTAATTTTCACATTTTCACTTATATGGATGACTATGATCCAGTATCCAATTTTTGTCATTGTTTTATGTGATCCTATTATTTGCAAGTATGTCCACACGCAGTTTCCTTTGTCTCTGATTCAAATAAATCTAAGTTCTTAATGTGTATGATTTGCATAAAGTCCGAGTTTCTTTATATTTGATTTAGGAGATCTGTACAAGATTACTCTTTGATGTCCATAGCTTGTTCTCTTATGTAGTTATTTATCGGAAAGGAAGATTCTTGATGGGATATCATTTGTTGTTCCAGCTGGGAAAAGTGTTGCTATTGTTGGAACCAGTGGCAGTGGTAAAGTTTATTTCATAGAAATTATTTTTGACATCTCTAGCTCTATCTTTTATTTTGAGTAGTTGACTATGGTTAAATACCTCAATTAAAGCTTGTGTTTCATGATTTTTTCCTCCTAAAATGGATATAGTATCATTGTTATTTAATTAGCACGTGTCAATTGATTATCAATTACCAAAAGCTGTCAAGATTACTTTCATTGCTGCTAAATGTTACCACTGGGCTCTAAGGGATGAGATCTGTCTTTTAATTTGCATGGTTTTGTCTCGAGTAGCTTTTGGTATTTTGATCATAACTTTCTCTTCCGATGTCTGATTGAGATGATTCAAAGTGCATTGGAAAGTTAACTCAAAGGGCTACAATTCTTTTAGAAATACAAGTATCCAATTCAAATGTTTGCTATTCAAAAAATGAGTCTCATGTTGAGGCTAAAAATTCGGAGCATAACTTCTTCGGTTGGAAATTGATTTGTGAAAATACTTCAACTATATTTCACTTCGTTGGCCTCCAATTGCATCCAATTGATCATATGTGTTCTTTAATCATCTTTTTATGGCTGGAATCAACTATTTAATGTTCATGCTTTGGTCCCCAAACTTTGGATTTCTTTCGTTTTTGCTATTTTTTGTTTCTTTCTTTCAATTTCACCAATTTGCATTGAGTTCAACCTAAAAAACATAATTAAACATGTTTAAGCTATAACATATCAAAATTACTAACATATACTCCAATTTAATGGCCTAGATAAGTTTACAAAATACACTTATCAATCATCTAGGAGATCTAATCCAAGTATAAAATGTTGAAAAGTTCTCTTTCGTGAGATTGGTTTTCCCTTTGTTTAATTGAATATTCACCTTGGTTGAACTGTTTTACTAGCAAAAAGTACAACAAAAATATGGGTTGCAGTAAAAGATTGCATAAAGTTTATGGAGTTCAACCACCAAGACTCAATGGTTCAGTTTAACTTAACTAATGCATTTTAGCTAAATCTTTAGACACGTTTCTTGTGAAGATGGAGTAAGAGAGTTTTGTAATGGAATTAACGACTACTAGACATTGATTTTTTGCACTTGTTATTTGGGGAAACCTATTATCCTTGTCTTCTAATTTTTTACATTTTTCTGCTCAACTATCCTACTTTGCTGCGGTTATTTTTGCAAAAGATGCTGATTGGTTAAGTTTGCAGGCAAGTCAACCATTCTGAGATTGCTCTTCAGGTTTTTTGATGTCGATACTGGAAATGTAAGAACAGAAATTTCTATTTTTGCTGAACCTTGCATAAAAGTCATGGGTGTAGTTGTCGGTGTAGAAGTGACTTTTATAAGCCACTCTATGTCTTCTGATAATTTCAATCGTCCATCTCTAGCATTATCTCGTTTTCTTTGATTGTTGATGGTTTTCATGTTTAGCTAAAGCTAATCATAATGCTATTCGTTGCAATTCAAGTTATTAGGAAAGAGAAAATGCAATCTGTACTGCTTTATATTCAATCAAATGTATGTTGTATAAAAAGCACCAAGTTAAAATCTTAGTTACTTCTTTGTTACATTTTGATTTTGTTGATCTTTTTTTTCTCTATTGAGTGCTAGTGGCACCTTGATATTGACAGATAAATATAGATGGTCAAGATATTCGGGCAGTAACACTTGAGAGCCTTAGGAAGTCTATCGGTGTTGTTCCACAAGATACTGTGAGTTTGCACTTGCATGAGGAATTTCTTCACTATTTGTTTCTCTATGTTCTTAGGCATGCAAGACCTTCTTCTGATTTTTTGAGTATGATATATATCTTTTGTTTTGTTGTCAGGTACTATTCAATGACACCATATATCACAACATTCATTATGGTCATCTTTCAGCAACAGAGCAGGAGGTGTTATTTGTTAAATCACTCTCCTTTTGCAGCTTGACAATTCTAACACTTCATAACATTGGCATTTGATTTTTTAAATTAGGTGTATGATGCTGCTCGAAGGGCCTCAATTCATGATACTATCATGAATTTCCCAGAGAAATATTCGACTATGGTGGGGGAAAGAGGACTTAAGGTGGGACTTTAATTTTCCCTCCCTATCTTACTACAAACTTAATGAAACTGAATTTTGTGATTGCCTGAAGACTTATCTATATGTGTAGGTAGTAGGTTTGCTATAAATAGAATTTTCTTCCCCTTTTTGGGGTCTAGTACACATATTTTAATACCATGTTTGGACGCACTTAAAAATAAATTAAATTGACTTCTATGTAATAAATTTTCGTACATTAAAATTAACTAAAATATGTAAAGTGAGATGAGCACCGACAGATTAATAGGATGAATATGTGCCACAGTACCAGAATCTAAAACCGTGGCATTTCGAATTTGATACTGTTTTTGCACTACACGGTACACACTCATTATCTTTCAGCCAAAGTCGTCTGTTAGCGAGCCCGATTGTACCGTGTCTGAAAAATTAACCCCAAAGTATATATTTAGGTCCAGCATTTTCTCGAACACCTGTCACAATATACAGTGATTGAACTTGTGTTGAGGAGAAGATGCAGGCTACGGTTGCATCCAGGTGTTTGAAGATTCTGAATAATTCCATTCCGCCTCGCTGTTTTAATCGTTATCCTATAACATGTTCTCCTAAATTATTAAACCCATGTCAAATTGGCTTTGAATTCAAGCAAAATTCAATCTTTACTGCACGCACCTCGCGTAGCTCCGGCAGAAAGAAGCCGTCTTTACTCCCTCATATCAATGCTTTTCTGTCGGATTTTCCCTCCAAAACACCCCAGAACCCAGTATGCACACTTTTCCATTTTGTTCTATTAATTTTAATTAATTATTAAATATTTTTACTGGATTTTAAGTTTTACATTATTTTGGTTAATTTGATGGGAAATTCTTGGTGAACAGAGATCGGTATCGGATGGCTATGCGGTGTTCTCCACAGAAGCAAAGCCAGCACCGAAGCAAGCGCCTACGACGTCGTTGAAGAAAACTGAAGCTTCAGGAGGCCAACTCCCAGATACTAAAATCTTCGCAACTCTCGCAAAATATATATGGATGAAGGATAATCTCGAGCTTCGGCTCCGTGTCATTGCTGCATTGGGCCTCTTAGTTGGTGCAAAAGTAATAATAAAGAACCTATCTTTGCGTTCATGTTATTACATGATTTTACCGTATACAGGTGCTTAACAGTATGATCTTTTTGGGGGTGGGCGGGGTTGTGTGTAGGTGTTGAATGTTCAGGTGCCATTCTTGTTTAAGCTTGCTGTTGATTGGTTGACGACTGCAACGGGAAATGCCAGTGCTCTAGCCGAGTTTACTGCTGCTAATTCAACTGTTTTAGCACTTTTTGTTAGCCCTGCTGCGATTTTGATTGGGTATGGGATAGCACGTGCAGGGTCTTCTGCTTTCAATGGTAACTTTTGTATTAGGAGTTTTTTAGTGTTTTTCTTTGTTTATAGTCTTTCCCTTGTTATGTACTACGAAAAAAGCTGGGGAAAAGAGATTTCCGTGGTTTTTTAGATATATTTTTTATGGTGTTTAATGCACTTTGTTCGATTTTAGAATTGCGAACTGCGGTGTTCTCTAAGGTGGCATTGAGAACAATTAGGCAGGTTTCCCGAAAGGTACGACGTCTTCTTTTCCCTCATGTCCAAACTGTGTTTATGTATCAAAAGCTGTTACAGATCAAATAATGCATGAGGATAAATTTCTGATTTCCTTTTGCGTCGATTTCATGATTAGTGCTCACTTTTATCCTTCCAATTTTATGCATGAATAGCTTATTTTAAAAGTAAATAATTACTTTTTAGTCTAATACAAGTGAAAAATGGAGGTCATTTGTTCAAGCTTCCTTTTGTAGTTTTGAGTGGGTAACGAATATAAATTAGATGTGTAAAGTGTGTCATATGGGAAAGGCCAGAGTAAACTATCTTTCTCATTCTTTATGGCTTTTCAGTGGCGAACAGTATGCCTGCTGTATGTGGCTCCTATTGTTCAACATTTTTGCATGATATATAACGATCTTCTAAATAAGGCAGACTGAAAATTATAAAATAATAAAGTAATCAGGCTTTTTTTTTTTTTGTGACATGAAATTTCATTCACCTTTGAGTGGTGTTGCAGTAATGCACAAAAGATATTATGGTAAATATTATTTCAAAGCTAGCAGAAATGGCACCACACTGTGTAGGACTTGTGTTTCCTGTGATATGTAAAATCCCATGGATTGAAGAAAGTATTTGCTTAAGCTAGAGGGATATCAACCCTTTATTTCTCTTTTATAATTAGTTGGATTTGGCAGTGGTCAAAAAATCAAGTTAGATATTACCATGATGTTAACCGAAGTTTAGCCAGCAATAATGGGAAATTAATAGAGAAAATGCTTGCTTTTCAGTTTAACTCATTTATCATATCTGAGCTGATTCTGGTGTTGGCTAATGATAAAGTTGAAACTTTCATGTTATTCTCATGTGGAAATAGTTAAGTAAATATGGTTAAATAAAATGCGATTCACCATGTTATATCAAGTAACAAATTTTCAACATATGCTTCGTTCTGACATAACTGACTCGTCTTATGCAGGTTTTTTCACATCTCCACGAGCTCGACCTACGGTTTCACCTTAGGTACTTCTTAAAAAAAGTCTTCTTAGAAAAGCTTTAACTTCTGCATTCCCTGTGGTGAGCACATTGATACCTCCAGCAGTGTGTAAAAATAACTAAAATTTGACTGCATACTTCCTTTACCTCTTAGTTGTCTTTGTTAAATTTCTCCCCCTTTTTTCTGTATCTTTATTCCATCTTCAGAGTCTTCATTTCCTTTCTGAACTGTAAGTGAAGGGCTATGCCTTCAGTCAACCTGTCCTCATAGGCAAAGCAAACCATCCTATGATCAAATATCTCTCTCTCTCTCGTTCGCTTTTAACGGCTTATTTTCATCTTGAGAAGATTTTGTACAGAGAATTCAAATCATAACACTGCACATGATACTTGCATGGTCTCAGAATATTGTTTAAGTTCAAGAGTTCAATCATATGGTTAATCTCCCTTTCAACTTCTTTCTTTTTGCAGTCGTGAAACAGGTGCTCTAAATCGAATAATTGATCGTGGTAGCCGTGCTATTAATTTTATACTTTCATCCATGGTCTTCAATGTTGTACCAACTATATTAGAGGTATGATTCCATCGCGTTCACGGCCTTTTGTTTCTTACTTGTGCATCTACGTTTATTTTTTTCTGGAAATACAAAATTTCACTAATATTGTTGCTTTTTTCTATTTTTCTAAATACAACCTTAATGGCTTTAGTGGTCTTTCAGATATCAATGGTGTCCGGTATTCTTGCATATAAGTTTGGAGCACCATTTGCATGGATTACATCACTGTCTGTGGCTGCATATATAATTTTCACATTGACCGTGACACAGGTATTTTTCCTTCTATGCCTCCAATGATTTTTGGGTCTCATCTATTATTTTTTTGTAAAGAAAAGTGCTGACCCTTCTCCCGAGAATGTGTTTTCTCTATCTCTTTCCTGTTCTTCTCTGATTATTACAATTTTTGTTCTTTCCCTTTTCCTGTGAGTTCTTCAGCATCTGTTTTTGTTCGTTGTTTTGCTAAAAAGAAAAATTTCTCCAAGATGTTGTTATTTTTCCGATATTCAACCCAAGGCCCTTTCCATTTTTTTCTAGTGGAGAACAAAGTTTAGGAAGGAGATGAACAAAGCTGATAATGATGCTAACACAAGGGCAATCGATTCTCTAATTAACTATGAGGTGAGTTCATAACTGTTCTCATATGGGAATTCTTTGAATTTCTCTGCAGTATTGATAACTTGTATTCCAAATTATTTTGTACATTTTCTTTTCAGACTGTGAAATATTTCAACAATGAGGCTTTTGAAGCTGATAAATACGATGAATTTCTGAGAAGTAAGTTGTTTTAAGATTTAGAGAAGTCTTCCTTCATATGATTGATTTTATCTTGTATAGGTTAGTACAACAAGTGAACTAATTCTCAGTAGACAGGTTATCCACAATGATTAAAAAAATCTTTTTTATTATTTGGATAAGGAGTTGTTATTGAAGTCATCATTGGATCCTTAACAAGTTGGATATGGGCTTAGGATCAATTGGTCGAGTTTCAAAACTGATTCTTGTAATAGGTTGCAGACTCTGATCTTTTTGACAATATTACAATTCTTAATTTTAAAATTCTATATTAAATTAAGCATGCTATGCATGGCTGGATGGTCGCCATTGTAATAATAGGGTCACCTTGTGAACTAGAGATTGATGCAGTGTTTTTCTTTTGTTGTTGCTAAATTATTCACTTGGGCAGGTCTGATCTTCAAATCAGCTTGGTCTGAAAATGCACTAAATATTATAGTTTGAATGCATTTTGCAGTAGTTCTGAGGTGGTCTCACGGAAGCTTAACAATGATTTTGTGATCAATTGCTTGCTTTTAGTACTTTTGACACACTGATAAATATTTTTGTCATGTCTCTCCTTATGCTCCCACTCCATTAGTGGATTCAAATTGATTATATAATATATTTCAGTTTATGAAGATGCTGCCTTACAAGCTCAACGAAGCCTTGCCTATTTAAACTTTGGCCAAAATGTGATATTTAGCACAGCACTCTCTGCAGCTATGGTCTTGTGTTCCCAGGGGATCATGAATGGCAATATGACTGTTGGTGACTTGGTAAACTGAAATCTTCTTACTCTTTCAGGTTACCAATTTTCAAATCCGGAAAGAAAAAAGAAGCACTTCTACTATCAGCATGATTGATTATGTTGATGCTTTAACTTTTCTTCTAGGTCATGGTAAATGGGCTACTTTTTCAGCTATCTCTTCCACTCAACTTCCTTGGAAGTGTTTATAGGGAAACAATTCAAAGTTTGGTCGACATGAAGTCCTTGTTTCAGTTACTAGAGGTATCATCTCATTTCAGATTTCCTTGCTTTTCAGTTTATAAGCTCTGTGCTCAATCGTGTTAAGATGAGTGTCTCTATATCGTCCTGAATTTGTGACTTGAGCAGTGAACAGATCAATAAGGTGAAATGTTCCCACATACAGCAACTTCTCTTTTACTGAGAGGGAGGGAGGGAGGGAGGGAGGAAGGGGATAACTTCGAAATTTAGAAACATAAAACTCCCAACAGTTGTGTGTGCTGCTGGCATTTTCATTCTCAGAGATCCTCAGTTCATCAAAGGAATGTGCATGGTTAGTCATCAATGGATACAAGTACATATTGAACCTCATGAAGAAGATATCATATGAGATTCATCAATTTAGAAATGCCGTTACCAGGTGTCGTGAGGTTTGTAGCCAATAGTGCTTGTAGGTATTAATGAGAAGGAAAAGTTGATGAGAGGAAATGAGAAGAAGCATCGCAAGTAGGAGAGGAAGTATTATTATTATTATTATTATTTTTTCACTAGTTCTAAAGGGGTACTCACTATAGGTTTTTAAATTAACATTATGTATTTGAGAAGTTCATTATCCGTCTAGGCTGTCAAACTATGCATTTGCAAACATGACTTACTGTTGAACTTCATTCATACTGATATGTATGGTTGAGGAAATATGTGATTTGCAACTTAAAAAATTTGACCACACTATTTTGCATTCATTTTTTTCTACGAGTAACATGTTTAATGATTAGAGAGCCCAAGTCCTCTCGATCTTTTTACTACTTATCTTACGATTCTGACCATTATGTACTTTGATTGACATCTCCAGGAGAAGGCTGATATTAGGGATGCAGACGGTGCCAAGCCTTTGAAGTTAGATGGCGGTGGCATTCAGTTTGACAATGTCTACTTCAGGTGCACCTTAAATTCTCTACTTGGCAATTCACTGGGCAAGATGGCAACTTGTAAACAAATGAACAAATACAGGATCTTTTGAATCATCATGCTCAGAACTCTGTCTGACAGCCATCTGTTTAGTGCTGTTGAGTGGTACAGGGAAATAAGCACTATATCTGGTGTGCTAAAAAAAAAAAAAAAAAATGTTAGCTGGTGAAAATTCCTGTGTATAACAAGGGAAAATTGCACGATTGGTGCTCAACCTATGACCTCTCTATCAAGTTGGTCCTCAAACTTTAAAATGGTACATTTTAATGTTCAGCTTCCTATATTGTTAATCAGGTAGTCTCAATGGATGGAAACAGTCCTTTTGACTTTTGAAAGGACAATTTTTTATGCTAAAAAGACAATTACGCTGTTATTTAAGGAATAATTGAAGATGCCAAAAACTTTGGGGTGTCGAAACTTATGGAGAGTCTGGGGTTGGCGGGCTAGTGTATGTGTTTGGAGAGTATGGCTGGTTTTTCTTTTTCTTTTCTTGCTACACTTTATTTTATTATTAAAAGTATTTGTGCGTGACCCATTTTATCCTTACAATAGTTCCCCCTCATTATTTGCACATATCTTTTTAATGGTCAAACAAATTATTTCCATCTATTGGGTGTACTTGTGCAACAATAATGAGAGGGTGAAGCCAAAATGCTCTGTTATGAATCATGGAGATCAATTTACTAAAGAGGTCATAG